GCCTTCCGCCCCCGGCCCTCCAGGAGACCCATACCCAGGGGGCTGCGGGAGATGCAGGATTGGGACCCGCGCGTGACTGGCACCCGGGCAGATCCTTCATTTGCATGAGCGAGCAGACTCGCATCCTGATTGGGTTTAGGTGAGCATCTGCCACGCCCCTTACGTTGGCCCCGCCCCCTAGAACGCGGAGCGAGCGGTGGCCACAAGGACCGCTGCTCCAGCCGAGCCTCGGCCCGGGGAGCCGCAGGGCTCCCGCGCTAGTTCAATGGCCCACCCCAAAAGAGCCGATGGGGGGGAGCGAAGGAGGCGTCATTGGTCTCCACTTCTACCTTTGCTTGCAGCCAAGACACTAGTAGGTGGGCGCCAGAGAGACTGGGGAGCTGTGGGCCCTCACGTTCTCGCAGACAGCTTTCCCCGAACCCGGGTCCACCGGCGGCGCTGAGCACTGACCTGCCCCAGTGCTCGGGGAGACAGCCGGCTCGCGGCGACATTTTCCCGGAAGGGAGGCCGTGGGTGTCCTCCGCTTTAGAGCGCTGGCTTTGGGCCCAGACAGAGGCCTAGGCTTGAATCCTCTCTGGTCACCGGCGGGTGTTCTTTGGTGGTTCCATAACCTTACTAAGTCTAATTTCCCATCTAAAAATAGGACTGTAATGCTGCTGAGGTTGAAACCAAAAGATGCAGCCAGTGCTGAGCACCAAGCCTGCGAGCGCAGATAGATCCGCTGATTTTAGCGGTGAAGAATCTCTGCCTCCGGCCTTGGGGGCGCACGTGGCCCAGGCCTGCCCTCCCAGGATGACAGGATGACCTCCTGGTCCAGGGGTCGCATGCGGGCACGGACAAGGGCAAAGGCGACCCTGCGGGCAAGCACCAAGCATTCGTGGTGACCTTTGCGTGGGACGCACAGTGTGGCAAGGATAGTTGCTACTTTTCTTAAGAAGGACATCCCTCACTCACCCTTTCTTCTCAAACGTCATTCTTTACCCCCAGACACCTTCGCCTCCGAAAAGCAGGAACAACAGTCACAATCATTAACGCCTCCAATCTCCCAGCTAATAGAGTTCCCATTTTGCAGACGCGAACTGCTAGGTCGGATGGTTAGGGGAAGCGCGCCAGCTGATGGACATACCTTACTCTCCCCCACTGTCCTTCATGGGTGTTAATGCTTGTGTGGCCCTCTCTGTTACTCGAAGAATAAACATGAGTCCGTTCGGGCAACCGGAGGAAGGAGGCAGCTGGTGTCAGATCTTCAACGAGTTCAGGTGGACCGCCCTGCAGGCCTTACTGAAGCCCTCAGGGTCAAGGTGCGGAAGAAAACGGAAAATGGACTTGGGAGAACCACTCTCACCCTCTATCCCTGGGATGGACCCAGGAGACAGGAAAAGACCTGGGCCTTGGACATGGGCCTTGCGCGAAACGCCGGAGAAGAAGAAGCCTTTGGCTGCTGCGCAGGGGCCCGTCATCTCCTCCCGCGGTCTTAAACCTGCTCCAAATACGGATTCGGAGAACGGTGAGCCTTGGGCCGGCCGCCCTCGCCCTAAACAATGACCCAGAAGCTTTGTCAGGAAGAAGTTTACATTTGAAGGTAGGGACGTTCCTTGGCATGAGCCACCGGCGGTGGCTGCCGTGCGGGGCCGTGCTCCTTCACTGCTGTCCCCAGAGCCGACACGGTGCTGCGCACCCACGGAGCGCCGGACAAACAGGGGCACCACGAGCCGCCCAGGCCCTCTGACTCAGCCGGCCGGACCAGTGACTCAGAGCCCAGCAGTCTCTTCCTTCCTCCCTTTCCCTCGGATGTGATCCCTTCCCCTGCCTCCCCCCGCGCCCGCCGCACTGGCTTCCGCTTGGCTGTCCTCCTGCCACCGCGATGGTCTCCCCGCGGCCTGCTCTCGCACGTTCCCCCGCACACGCGCGCGCGAGGCCTCGTCTCCGTGGTTATCAGTGCCCGCTCCCGCCCCGCAGTCCGGTCTCCGCGACCCCGGGAGCTGTCCCTTTATTCCAAAGCCTTCCGCCCCCGGCCCTCCAGGAGACCCATACCCAGGGGGCTGCGGGAGATGCAGGATTGGGACCCGCGCGTGACTGGCACCCGGGCAGATCCTTCATTTGCATGAGCGAGCAGACTCGCATCCTGATTGGGTTTAGGTGAGCAGCTGCCACGCCCCTTACGTTGGCCCCGCCCCCTAGAACGCGGAGCGAGCGGTGGCCACAAGGACCGCTGCTCCAGCCGAGCCTCGGCCCGGGGAGCCGCAGGGCTCCCGCGCTAGTTCAATGGCCCTGTATTGCCACTGCCTCCGGGGGACCTCCTGCTCTGTCCTTGACAGATGGGCCGCGGTGGGCCCGTCCAAGCTGGCCCGAGGGGCTGAGGTGGATCCGAATGGACCCCAACCCTGGGGACCCCAGCCAGGCAGGGCAGAGAAGTAACGAGACAACTGTCAATGCCTGGCGCGGTGCAGAGCTTTGCACAGGGTCCTTCTGGAGCGGAGCGAGGGCCGGCTTCCTGGGGGTCCGGGCAGTTGAAGCAGAACTGGATAATGAACAGGATAATGAAAGCAACCCCTTGTTAAGTCGACTGTTTTTCATTTCGCCTTCACGAAAGCCCTGGGGTAGGTACTCATTTTGCAGATGAGAGATCAATCGCAGTTCAGAGAGATGAAGTGCTCGTTCACCATTAGCAAGTGGCAGAGCAAGGACTTGATGCCACGGCTGCCTTTAACCTCCGTAGTGTAAGTACACTAGGCAAAGAAAACAATGTGAGCAAAGAAACTGACGTGAGAAACGGCAGAATAGAGGGGGACACTACAGAAAAATGCCATGTTTCTGGAGTGCCAAGTTCCACACACAAGGAAGTGAGAGTGGAGGCTGGGAAGGACCGTGGGGGCCCTGGAGGGCCTCTGAAGCCACACTCAGGAATTTGGACTTGGTGCTGAGGGTGGTGAGGGGCTGCACCCCTCCGAGTTTTCACACAGGGAGTGATGCAGTCTCTCTGGCTGCACTTAGGAGGATGGGTGCAGGTGGGAGACGGAAAGCGGAGAGGTGGGTGCAGTCTGCTCTATGTCTTGCTTCTCAACAGTATAGCACACATAGGGCAGAGAAGTAACGAGACAACTGTCAATGCCTGGCGCGGTGCAGAGCTTTGCACAGGGTCCTTCTGGAGCGGGGCGAGGGCCGGCTTCCTGGGGGTCCGGGCAGTTGAAGCAGAACTGGATAATGAACAGGATAATGAAAGCAACCCCTTGTTAAGTCGACTGTTTTTCATTTCGCCTTCACGACAGCCCTGGGGTAGGTACTCATTTTGCAGATGAGAGATCAATCGCAGTTCAGAGAGATGAAGTGCTCGTTCACCATTAGCAAGTGGCAGAGCAAGGACTTGATGCCACGGCTGCCTTTAACCTCCGTAGTGTAAGTACACTAGGCAAAGAAAACAATGTGAGCAAAGAAACTGACGTGAGAAACGGCAGAATAGAGGGGGACACTACAGAAAAATGCCATGTTTCTGGAGTGCCAAGTTCCACACACAAGGAAGTGAGAGTGGAGGCTGGGAAGGACCGTGGGGGCCCTGGAGGGCCTCTGAAGCCACACTCAGGAATTTGGACTTGGTGCTGAGGGTGGTGAGGGGCTGCACCCCTCCGAGTTTTCACACAGGGAGTGATGCAGTCTCTCTGGCTGCACTTAGGAGGATGGGTGCAGGTGGGAGACGGAAAGCGGAGAGGTGGGTGCAGTCTGCTCTATGTCTTGCTTCTCAACAGTATAGCACACATGGAAAATGATTCCTGTGGCATGGCACACTGGGTAATAAAGGAAGGGCTGTTTGCACAGCCACCCTTAGGACTGAGGAATCCCAGGCAACAGCGCACCCAGCCTCAGATAGTGACAGTGCAGGATGAGAACAAGAGCTGGATTCAAGGAATGATTAGAAAGCAAAGTGGGTGTCATTTCGTGAAGCGGTGAAGAAGATAACCCCTAGGTTTCTGACAGTTCCCTCACTGCCGTAGGGAGCATGGGGCAGGGCTGGAGCATGGGGAAGATTATGAGTTCTCTTTGGCCGCCCGGTGTTCAAGGCAGGTGCAGAAGCCCAACGGAAGTGGAGCAGGGCTCTGGGGTTCAACAGACGGATCCAACTTCTAGTTTCACCAACTTACTAGTTCCATTACCTTGGGCAAAAAAGCCTTGTTAGGGCCGTCCCATGGCTCACTCGGGAGAGTGTGGTGCTGATAACACCAAGGCCATGGGTTCGGATCCCTATATAGGGATGGCCGGTTGGCTCACTTGGGAGAGTGTGGTGCTGATAACACCAAGGCCATGGGTTCGGATCCCTATATAGGGATGGCCGGTTGGCTCACTTGGGAGAGTGTGGTGCTGATAACACCAAGGCCATGGGTTCGGATCCCTATATAGGGATGGCCGGTTGGCTCACTTGGGAGAGTGTGGTGCTGATAACACCAAGGCCATGGGTTCGGATCCCTATATAGGGATGGCCGGTTGGCTCACTTGGGAGAGTGTGGTGCTGACAACACCAAGTCAAGGGTTAAGATCCCCTTACCGGTCATCTTTAAAAAAGAAAAAAAAAAATAAATAAAGCCTCGTTAATTCATCTATCAGATAGGGATGATAATAGGATTAAAGGGTAGTGGGAATAAAATGAGATAATGTACAGTGCCTGGAACATAACAAGTATTTAATGAATGGCAATCTATTATTGTTCTTATATTATTATTTATTATTATTATCAATAAATCTGAAGCTCAGAAAAGAAGCAATTTCAGAAGCCATCAAGTGGAAGTTGAAACCATGAGAATAAATGAGATGATTCCAAAAGAGTGTATATGATGAGAAGGGAGGATGTTGGAGACCAGGGGCACTGACATTTAAGGGGTGGACAGAGGAAGAGGAGCCTAAGAACAAATGGGCAGCAAAGGAGGAGGAAAGCCACAAGAGCCCGGCCTCATGGAAGCCACATGTAGCAGCCACACAGTTGATGCCCTGCCTCACGTCCTCCTCATAACAGATGTTGCTAGGATAAGCACCCTCCTCGACGGTGCCTCAGAAGAGGCAGCCAGCAGTCCTAGCTCCAACCCAGGAGGTGAGTCCTCACTGGTGATCCCATTTCGCTT